TCCTTCCTTTCTTTCTTTCTTTCTTTTCTTTCTTTCTTTCTTTCTTTCTTTCTTTCTTTCTTTCTTTCTTTCTTTCTTTCTTTCTTTCTTTCTTTCTTTCTTTCTTTCTTTCTTTCTTTCTTTCTTTCTTTCTTTCTTTCTTTCTTTTCTGAATTCACTCATTTGTATATGCTTAGCATCTCCAGTGTTCTGGCCCCAGGCTGGGAGTCAAAGATGAGGAAGACAGGGCTGCTGCTTGAAGACTAGACAAGACAGGGCAGCTGATGAATGACTCTACAGTTGCTCAGCCCTTTCTGCAAAGACGATCAAAGGGCACCAGGGCCCAGAGAAGGCTGGGCCATTTCTGGGAGCAGGTAACACCTGAGCTGAGCCCCAGACAGGAGAACAGCAGACTGAGAGGAAAACAGTGCAAGTCACCATTGGTGTGCACAGGGCCGTGTTGTGAGAACTCACTGGCGGCCCACACTGGGCTCACCGGTGCCAACAGCAGCTTGTGTTTCACATGGGTCACAGTTTTCAAAAGCCCTTCATGTACTTTCTCCCCTTTGACCATTCTCTCCCTCAAAATAACCATGAGAGGTGGCAGGCAAATTGCACAGCAGCCTCCCCACTGTGTTCTCAGCTTTTGTCTCTTCTTTATTCTGATGCTTCTTTTCGTGGGAGGTGCTGGAGGGTGAGGGGACAAGATCCTGAAAGCCCCACAGGTGGCCAGAAGCAGAAACTCAACAAAAGTTATCCTCCTCTATTTTTTTTTCAAGTGGATCGATACAAAATCTGGTTTGGTATTGCAAATAATAGAAGAATTAACCCAGACTCTTCTTCCCCCGAACCAGAGATAATGCCTTAAAACAGTCTATGTGTTAAACAAAACCATCTGTGCTTATAGTTCCAATAAAAATATTGACACTTGCTCCCAAGTTATGAACTAGATCTGTCACTTTCCCCCTAGTAACAAACCATAACCGAATTGCACGGGTGTGTACCAATTTACGCTCGATACCACACATCCAGGCGTGTGCATCAAACCAAGAACGTGCTCAGGTGAGGCCACGCCAAGGCGACACCCTCAGAAGACTCTACTGCTGAGACATCTCGTGCTTGCTTCTACTTACTCTGTCAGCCGTCTCCTCTCCGTGAAGCTGATCACTGTCCCGTTTAAAGAAATCTGCAGAGCAGGATGAGCTGTTTCTCTCAACAAGAGAAATCGGGTTCCTATTGCAGTTAGGAAAATAGGATTATAACATTACCACAATGTCAAGTGCTGTCCCTGGGCAAAGCCCCACATCTCAGATTTAGTCTTTCTTTTGACATCAAAGTTCCCTGCTGAACGTTTTCAGATCCACAGCAAAATTTTATCCGTGAGAAGGACTACTGAATGCCAGGGGCTGATCACCTTTCCTTGGTGCCCAGGTATGGTCACTCTGTTGTGCAAAGTATGCTCCCTGCAGCAGCAGCATCTACACCACCTGGATACTAGTTACACATGCAGAATCTTGGGCTTGCCCCGGACCTCCTGGATCACAATCTGTATTTTAACAAGCTCCTTGGGAGATTCACGTGTACATTGAAGTTTGAAGATGCACTGGTATAACCTACAGGAGTGGTTCTAACAGTGGAAGGTACAGGCACCCTATTGGGACTGCAGGGAACACACTTCTGAACAGGCAGCCCTCAAGCCTTCTCTTCACAAACATCAGGCTGGCCCTAACCACATCACACACAAGGCACATGCACAGGTTTTTGCTGGTTAAGCCAGTCACTGAAAGTGCCACACTCAAATCTTCTGCCATTTTGGGGTCTAGAATAAGATAATAAAGTGATCACTTTTCCATTCCTTATTTCTTTTCACAATAATTGAGAACAGCCAAGCACTTTTTGTTGGCATCATCTAGGTACCTGCCTCAAAATGCCACTGAAAGCTTTTATCACTTTCCTGAGTTATTCACTCATTCATTTGACAAACATTAATTGGCAGAAACATGTACTAGCCGTGAAAAATAAACAGAACAGAACTGGAAGCTTGTTCATAGAGTTCACAGTATAATAAAATAAGAATATCTTCATCCCACTCTTTCCTCAAAACATACCCACAAGTTACAGCACTTTGTAAGCCAAACAAGAATCCTCTGGGGAAATTAAAAACACATGTCAGAGCCCAGATCCAGGTAAATTAGATCAGGATCTCCAGGAATTGGCCCCTGGCATCAGTATTTTTTAAGCACCCTGACATTGCTAATGGGTAGCCAAGGTTGATAACCTCTTAAACTAGAAAAATAAAAAGAAACACCTTGACCTTTGGCCAATCTTGGGTCCTCATGCCAGAAACCTAGCACTGCCAGCAAGCTGGGGGCTTAAAGAAGTTTCCTTCCAGGATGTCTTCTCTGGGTGGTAGAAGGGAATGAAAGGGAATGCTTGGAAACAGTCCTCTGTGTACAAAGGGGAAAGTACCTCTGGTGGAAATGAGGGCAGCTTCACTCTGTTCGCTTGTCCCAAATGCATTGATGGCTCGCACATAGAAAAAGTAATTGTCATTAGGTTGGAGGTTAACTTTCAGCTGAAATCCTTTAATTCCAGAGAAAGATCTAAATATGAAAGGAAAATAATAATTTTATATATCGTGCTAAACAACTCATATTTCAATCTCATAGTGAATGAACACCTTTTACTGACAACAAATCACTTATTTTTTCCCTTTTTATGACCACAGAGTTAGCAAGCCAGATTCTACAAAATGGTCATTGTCCACTAAGTCTACTTTATCAGATCATTTCTACATTTGTTAACATTTGTCCAATAGTGTGTCTTTCAGAATGTTTTTTGGAACAGAACCAGACAAATTTTTTTTTAATTCAGAAAACAGACTGTGTGGTTAACGAGTCTCCAAGCATATATTATTTTGTTTATCAATTTTTGGCTAAGGAAGTACTTCTGGATTAAGATGTTAAACCAACCTATGATGCAAAAGACACTAATTATCTTCTCAACAGATCCTGAAGAGTGGAAAACTTAAGGTGAGTGATGATTTTCTACATGGCCATCAAGCCAAAGCCAGTAAGGTTATGGAAACTGGAGCTCTCTCAAGAAGACAATATTCTTTAAAGCAAGCTTAATCATGGCAAGAAAAGAGAATTCTAATTGCCAGATAAAATCCTCAAGGTTGCTGTTCCTAAATCTCTCATTTACATTAAAAGAAAAGTGCTGGTAATTAGCGATATTGAACATCTTTTCCTGTGTCTATTGGCCATCTGTAGGTCTTCTTTGGAGAATGTCTATTTAGGCCTTCTGCCCATTTTTTGATTGGGTTGGGGTTTTTTGTTATTCAAATGAACTTATTTACAAAACAGAAAGAGACTCACGGACAGAGACAACAAGCTATGGGTTACCAAAGGGGAAAGGGGGTGGGGGAGGGATAAATTAGGAGTTTGGGATTAGCAGATACAAACTACTTTATATAAAATAGATAAGTAAAAGGTCCTACTATATAGCCCAGGGAACTACATTCAATATCTTGTAATAACCTATAATGAAAAACAATATGAAAAAAGATATATATGTACAACTAAATCGCTAAACTTGTATAAAAGAAACTAACACAACACTGTAAATCAACTATACTTCAATAAATAAATAAAACACTTTTTAAAAGAAATTGAGAAGTGCTGGTCGTGGTATCTAAATGGCAGCATCCTTGGCAAGTACACTGTAACAGCCCAACCATTCAAGCACAAATGGACTTGCTGGATTTGAAAATGGAGCTCTCTGAACTTGCCAATGAGCTGGAATAGTTTTGTGCTTCTTTTCCATTCTCTTTAATCTGCTTGATATCAGGTCCTAGAGCATTTATACAAATGCTCTTTTAGCCTCCTTTTGGAGAGGCTTTGGAGAGGGTTACAAATTAGGCTCCTTGCTAATAAAAGAATTCCTAATCTGAGTGCTAAAGAATCAGAGTCCTGTCCCCAGGAGATGTGTGTTGGATACTAGTCATTGAAAACAATAGTACTGTAGCCTTCAAGCCATAGAGAGATAGGGTTTTTGTTTTTGTTTTTTAACTGTTTGTTTGCTTTGTTTGTTTTTTGTTTTCTTTGTGTTTGTTTTATCATTAATGAATTGTACCATCGCATTAAAATCAAAGAGTGGCCACTTCATTCTCAGATTTTTTTTTTCAGGTTATTTCTATTTCTGTTGACTCATTTCTCTCTCAGGACCTGCCTTAAAGAATTCTGTGGAGAACCAGGAAAAGGAAAAAGTATCATCGACCCAGAAAACAAATTAATTTAGATGTTTTTAAAAGCAGAAAATCTGTACAGAGTAAAATGGAAGAGATACACAGATGACTACAATTAAAGTAACTCATTGATAATTACATGAAATTCAAATTTTAATGTTTACAAAGCTTTATTGTAACAGTCATGCTACTGTGTTTACATATTGTATATGGTTCCTTGGGTTGAAGCAAAATTGAATTGTGACAGAGATCTTTCGGCCGACAAAGCCAAAATTATTTATATATCTGTTCCTATACAGAAATAATTTATTTATTCCTGTTTTATTATGTAAGCATTTAAGGCCAAGAGTTTTATTTTGTATACCACTTTTGCTATATTCCATCTATTTTTATGTATATCAATGTCATTCGTTTTCAGATATATTTCAAAATTTTATTATGGCTTCTTTGATTTATGAGTAATATAGAAATCCGTATTTTATTTCCAAAAAAAGAAAGAAAATCTATACAGAATAGCAATCCCTCCCCCATCAATGCCCCATGTCTAAAAGCACAAAAGACTCATGGTTTGTTCCTCAGAAGGAAGGGGCAGGGGAGGGGAGAAGCCTGGGTCTATTTGTGTATTTGCTATTTAGTGCCTGTGTCTGGAAAAGGTCAATGCAAACTTTATCGGTTGTTATTTCAGAAGCTACCACCTGATCAGGCCCTTGAGAGTACTATCTTTAGATGCAATGGAAATGGATGAATGAAACTGAGCCATATGTCCACTGACAACTAATTATGCTTTGGTTAATTAATGAAAAACTAGGTCCTGTGATTGAGAATGCAATTCCCGACTAATATCTAGATTGTTATTCTGGGGTAGAAATATTGCTGATCTTATATGAATTGATGACTGAAGAGAAGTTTCAAATGTACATTAATTTTTTTGTTGAAGTATACTCAGTTATAATGTGTCAATTAATTATAACAAGCTTATAGTCTCAATAAGCACACTCAGATCTGAACTGGGTTTCAGACTTCATGCACTCATTAAATAAATATTTATTGATCACTTATCATGTGCCCAGACCCTGTCTTTGCCTGAGGGGGGAAGTGGCAAGGATAGATGAGGAATTTCATCTCTAGAAACTGGATAGAACATATGAGCTTCATTTTGTAATAATGCAGTTGTTAATGCCAAGGATGCTATTTTTTGGGTAAGTGTTTGCTCTTAAATTTTATGAAGTCTGTCAAGAAGGAAATTCCATATACACTGTCGACTGCATGCTATGTCTTATTACTCATTTAAAGAATAAAAGTTTATATGGTACTGAAGCCAACATATGGGATTAGATCTGCTCTCATTGTGCAAACAGGTCAAACAGACATGACAAATATGCACAATGCCCTCACTGAATCTATAAAAGCACCAGGTATGAAAATGAAAGTAATATGAAATATGGAAGGGTTTTATTGTTTATAAGTTTATATCTTATGCTCAAGCACCAAGAACAAAGCAAAAAAAACACAAAAAAACAAAAAGCTCAGATACAAATGCTTCATTTCCCTATTTATTCTATCTGACCTCATTTAATGTCACAGAAGTCTTCATGTCAGTTATCCCTGCTTTTTAGCCAAATGAAAACTTCAAAAATTTTGGAATTTGAAATCTGAAGAGTGGTACTCTTCCATAGATTAGGATATTTTTCATTTCAAAAACAAAAATTTGTCATAATTGCCACTGAGTCCACATGAGTTACAATGAGCTTTGCATACTTTGCAGTAGAATTCAAATTCACAGATGATGCAAACTGAGGTAAGTGATTAGACAGCAAATAGAACCACAGCAAGTTGTTGGTGTTTCGATAAAAAGAGATTTTATCCTTATCAATAATGTGACTAATCTGACTATATTAGAAGTCTAGAACAAATAATGAAATTCAAAAGACAAGAAATATGACTCAAAGGGCCTCACTTTGGGTCTTGAGTGTGGGATTCCCCCGTAAGTACCATAGTGCAGAGGACAGGAAAGGCTTTATATGCAGAGGTTTCAAGAATGTGAGGGCAAGGAAGCATCTAGAAACCCTAACACATCAGCACATTAGCTGCTTGCTGGTGGAGCATAAGCATGCTGTTGACACTGAGTTCCGTACCCAGCAGGTCTTCAGAGGACCCTCAGCTGCCTCACTGGTAGGACAAAGGACATTTGCTAAACTCCAGTGCTGTAAGGCTGAGAGAACTGATTTAAAGGAGACCCACTGTCTCCTCGGAAGTCTGAAGGGCTGCCATGTGAATGAGACCAGGCTTCTCTTCTGCTGTCTCTGAAGGAAAATCACCAGGAGGCTGATGTCTGACCAATATAACAAAGGCCTTTCTAGTGTAAGCCCTTTCATTCTTTAGTTTTTGCAAGGAATGAAAAGTTTGCCACAACTAGCTGTGGATAATGGGGCAAGAATTATTTTACATGGGAACTGAAAAGGATCTTAATGAAGTAAAAAGACCAATAGGGACTTAATGCTTAATGGGAAAATACTAAAAGCATTCCCATTTAGTCAGAGGGACAGATATAAGGTTAAAAAAATTGGGAAGTAGGAGGTAAAATTATTAGCATTTGCATGTGATATGACTATTACCTAGAAAACTCAAGAAAATCAGCTGGAAAAACGCAGAATTTAGTAAGATAGCTACATATGAAACTAATATAAGAAATCAAAATTCTTCATACACAAATAACAACTAGCTAGAAGATAAAGCAAAAGAAAGACCTTATTTAGAAAAATGGCAAACATAACAAAAATGTTTAACGTTTATATGAAAAATATTTTTGAAAATGGTACTGAAGGAAAACACACAAAAGACTTAACTAAAAGGAAAGGTATATCGGTTTTTGGAGAGGAAAATACAACATTACAAAAATTTCGAAGCTCCCTAAATTAATCTCTCAATTTAACATGATCTCTAAAAATACCAAATTGTCAGGGGCAGGGGAGTGGAGGTGACTATACAATCTGATTCTAAAGATCATATAAAAATAAACTAGCAAACAGAAAAAAAAGGTCATGAAGGAGCAAACTAACCTACTATGAATTCTAAAATTATAAAGCTATAATAATAGAAACTCATGGTACCAGGGCATAAATAGATGGGACAATGGAACAGATCATAAAGATCAGGAACAGAGCCAAACACACAGGTTCTTGAGTATGTAATAATGGAAATATTTCAAATCAGAAGGGAAAGTGATGGGTTTTCTTGTTGGCACAGCTAGACAGCCATACTAGGAAAAATAAAGCTGGATTCCCTACTTCATACTTCCTACTGAAAGTAAAACTAAACTAACATTAACATTTAAACATTAACATTAACATTTAAAAA